TTTGATTTTTTGAAAAATTCCTTCCCAGGAATGCTTATCTCAGCTTCAGCAAATGTTTCATCTGCTTATTTCACCTCTTAATTCCTGCTGGGGTTGTTAACGTGTCAGACTTCAACAGCAGGGCTGATTCTGGGGCTGCCTCATTGTTGGCTCTTTTTCAGACTGAGCCTAGGTCTTTATATTCAAGGCTGATGGGCACAAATGCAGCTTTTTCTCCCTTACTCCTGGACCCTCTTGTGGCCCCTCAGCAATCCTTTTGCGCCTTCTTCCGGTCTCTGGCTCCTCCTTTCTGTCAAATCCAGCCTGTCTTCCATATGCATTTCTAGGGCTCCCCTATTTCGAGCCCTGAATGTGGCTTTTAAAAATAAAAACTGTTATAGAAAATTTCATTAAAATAATAAGTGATGCTATCTCTTGCATCTCACCACTTACTTGGTTCTCCTTTCTCCTCCTATCATCTGTACGTGAGATTGATTTTGTTTGCACAAATTTGCCTTGCTGCTCTGTTATTTTCGCGCTTTCCAGTGATAGGTCTCCACTGCTCCTTTTCTTCTCCTCGCTCCTTTCCCCTCAGGCATTTCCTCCTCCTCTCCTGGTACTCAAAGAGCTAATAAACTCAACCAGGTGGAAGGGGGGCTGCAATCACTCAGGATCCTTGGGCTGGGATTAGCCGGGCTCTGGACACCTCCAGCCAGAACACACATAGAAAACACCAAAGATAAAGTAAACTGTCTTCCGTTTGTTTGGTCTTCCTGAGAAAACCAGTGCCCGTTTCTACTGCACAGTGACCAGTGTTCATAATTTCTACTGCCGTGGCTCTTTGCCCAGAGCTGTGATGCAGAGGGGAGCATTCCCAGTGCTGGACTTGGTGTGACAGGGAAAATTTCAGGCATTACAGGCAGAGAGTAATCTATGAAAAGACTATGAGAGGTGGAGCCCCAGAGGTATGGGAGAATACAGTGAAGTTGTTTTCTATGAGGATATTTTTAGAAAGTCCCAGATCCATTGGGTTTCCTCAGCAAAATAGGAGGTGGACTATCAGTACAATTTCAAATACCCAGAGGGCCTCGGTAGGCAATTTAAGGATGAGAAATACTGGCCTGGTAACTCAGGTAACACTGAGAGACCATCCCTAATGGGAAAGGGTCAGCGAGACTTTGGCCAGTTGTTGGCACAGGTGAGAATACCGCGACTAAGGGAAGCTGAAAAGCCACAGGATTTCATGTGAAATTTCCCAGTTTTAAGATGGCAGCCACTTACCAAAAAAATTTCAATAGTCTGTGTGTGCCAAAGCTCATTAGCTATGAGTTTACAACCCCAGGACTAAATGATCATTAAGGTCCCTTCCCACTCTTACTCTCTCAATGGTCATAACTCAAGAATGATATGGAAAAAAAATTAATACTAAAATTTGCACAGCTATTTTCAGTTTATGAAATACATTCCCTTCATATTACTTTGAGATATAGCAGTTTGTATTTTAAAATCTGATATATATTTGGGGCACCAGAGTGGCTCAATTGGTTAAGCGACTGCCTTTGGCTCAGGTCATGATCCCAGGGTCCCGGGATCGAGCCCCTCATTAGGCTCCCTGCTCCTTGGGGAGTCTACTTCTCCCTCTCCTTCTCCCTCTCCCCCTGCCTGCCACTCCCCCGCTTGTGCTCTCTCTCTGTGTCAAATAAATAAATAAATAAAATCTTTAAAAAATAAAAATAAAATCTGATGTATATTCAAACTGGTTGTGTTCTCACCATTCCATTCTCTGACCACCAGGCCAGGCAACCCTAAGACTTCAAGAAAATGAAGTATAGGGGCCCCTGGGTGACTCAGTCATTAAGCGTCTGCCTTCGGCTCAGATCATGATCCCAGGGTCCTGGGTTCGAGCCCCACGTCCGGCTCCCTGCTCAGCAGGAAGCCTGCTTCTCCCTCTACCACTCCCCCGCTTGTGTTCCCTCTCTTGCTATCTCTCTCTCTGTCAAATAAATAAATAAATAAAATCTTAAAAAAAAAATGAAGTATAGTCCCAACCCTACAAAAGGTTGAGGAGTTGGTCCCAATCTTTCCAGTTAAACTTGCTTTGTAAAAATCCCCACCTTTGAAGAAGAGCTAAATAACTTAAACTGCTGCTATTCACTTAACAAAACTTGTTAAACACAGACACAAAAAACACCAGTAACCATGGACCAATTTCATTAATTATAAATAAATTTTAATCCTAAATAAAAGATTAACAAATTGAATCTGGCAGTGTATTCAAAGAATAATGAATATATGGCAAAGCAGAGTTTATTTCAAGAATGTAAGGGTAGGTTGGACATTAGGAAATCTACTATAGTTCATTATATTAATAAGTCAGAGTAAAAAGTCAATCTGGTAATAGACCTTAAGAAACAGTTAATAAAATTTAACCTCCTTTCCTAATTAAAATCTTATAGTAAATTAGGAATAGAAGAAAACTTCTTCAAAGATGACAGTGTATTTTTTTAAGATTTTATTTTTAAGTTATCTCTACACCCAATGTGGGGCTCAAACCCACACCTGAGATCAAGAGTCACATGCTCTACCAACTGAGCCAGGCAGGCACCCCAAGATAACAGTGTATTTAAAGGATATCAAGAATCAACTAGGGGCAAATACTTGTCTTACTACATTATAGACTGAATGCCCATTATCTTGTCCTGTATTCTTCAAAAGTTTTCTGAGGTTTTGGCCAATCCAACAGGAAGAGAGAAAATGCATTATTTGTAGGTGATATGATTGTTGACATAAAAATTCAGAGAGATCAGCTGGCAAATTATTAGAACTAATAAGACATTTTCAGTGTGTTAGGATAAGAGATAAATAAATAAATAATAAAAACGAAGTTTTCCTAATTTACAGTAATGATAAATATCTCATTCGCAATATTACCAAAAAAAAAAATATCTAGGAACAAACTTCACAAAAATTGTGCAAATCTTTGTGAAAATTTTTTCATGTCCTTGAAATTTAGAATACCTAAATACATGAAGAGATGTATTCCTGAATTTGAAAATTTTGACTCACGAATTTGAAAATTTTTAAAGAAGAGAATTAGGAGAGGACTTGCTTTATGAAACAGCAAATATATTACAAAGCTACAATGATTTTAAGTGTGACATAGCACAAACCATGAGAGACTATGGACTCTGGGAAACAAACTGAGGGTTTCAAGAGGGGAGGTGGGTGGGAGGATGGGGTGGCCGGGTGATGGTTATTAAGGAGGGTATGTGTTGTGATGAGCACTGGGTGTTATATGCAACTAATGAACTGTTGAACACTACATCAAAAACTAATGACATACTGTGTGGTGACTAACATAACATAATAAAAAATATAAAAAAATAAGTGTGACATAGCACAGGAATAAGCAGATAGCTGATAGAATAGACAAAGTGTTCAGAAACATACAAACACACACACATTTAGTTCATGATTAATGGTGCCACTTCAAAGTAGTGGGGAAAGAATAGATTATTCGACAGGTGATATCGGGGCAACTGGTTAACCATTTGCAAAAAGTAAAGTGGAAAAAAATAAGGTGAAGAAACCTATGGTTTCTTGGTGAAGAAATTAGAGATTTCAAATTTACACATTCTTTTTGAGTATAGTTTGGCAAAATGTTTTAAAATTTGAGATTTCTATAATCTCTTATTAAATGATTCCATTAATTTCTTAAAAGATTTTATTTATTTATTTGAGAGAGAGAGCATGTGCTTGAGCGGGGATGGGGGACAGGAGCAGAGGGGGAGGAAGAGGGACAAGCCCCAAGTGGGGTTTGATCTCAGGACCTGAGACCATGACCTGCACTGAAACCAAGAGTCACATGCTTAACCAATTGAGCCACCCAGGCACCCCTAAACAATTCCATTTATAAGAACTAATTCCAACGAAGTAAATGGACAAATGTACAGAAACGTCTGTACAAGAATGTTTATTGCTGCACTTTTTAGAATAGTAAAAAATTGGAAACCACTTACATGACTGTCACAATGGATTATTTCAAAAGTGTGTGTGAGAGAGATATACATACAAACCTCGGAATGCCATGAGTCTGCTTCAAAATGATGGAATAGATTTATATATATTGGAATGAAGGCTATCCACATGATATTAAGTGAAAGAATCACGTTCTATATCTGTAGGTATTCTTTGATTTTTTTTTTTTTTTAATGTGTGGAGCTATGGAAAAGCCCAGAAGGAAATATGACAAGCTGTTTCTTTTTCCTTTTCCCTGGGTAGATTCTATTTTTTCGCCTAGAAGATTCTCCCCGTTTCTTAAGAGCTCTTTATCCAGGTAACTTCAATAGTACATCCTTGAGGTCTTAGCTTAAACTCTGTTGGGGGGAGAAGGGAAAGCAGAAACCCTATCCCTAGGTAAGCATGCTCTCATTGAACCCTGTACTTGCCACACTACCTACAAACCATACTACACTTTTTTATTTATCAAATTACTTACTTTTTGGGTTTTTTTCCCCCTAGACTCTAAGCTCCGTGAGGGCATGGACTGCATATGGGTCTAGCGTTCCAGAGCCTAGCACGGTGTCTGGGAAATAACTGTCGCTTATTGAGCTCTTACTGCATGCCAAATACTGTGGTTGGCGTTTTAAATGATCTCACTACACCCTGAGGTAAATGCTATTATTCTCTCCATTCTGAAGACGGGGAAACTGAAAGTGAGTGAAATTTGTCCCCAAAGCCGTTGTCCCGCTGGGATTAATTCCCAGGCCTGACTCTTGGCCACTACACTCACTATATAGTGATCAATAAACACCATACGAACTACAACCAGCCGCGGCTTGAGGGTCACTTGGCGGGGACACTGCGCTGGGGACATAGCACTGGAAAGGTGATCGGAGGAGAAGCCCTTTAAACCCGCTCACAAGGTAGATACTCGCAAGCCCCGCCCACCACGACCCGCCCACCAGCCCGGAAGGGACCGGCTGGGGCGGGACGAGCTTCCGGGGGCGGGGCGGGGCCAGCGCTGGTTGGCCGGCTTCGGGCGGAAGTCGGAAGGGTCGGTGGTCCGAAGACGCTGGCTTGTGACAGGGCGGGGTAGAAGGAAGGCCTACATAAAGGTTGCCTCTCCATCCCTTCGCTCCGGGGGACCCTCGGAAAAAACCCAGCACCCCGGCCCCGCGGCTAGCCCCTTCCCCCAGGCTCTCTCCGCTCGATTTCGCCACCGTTATGTGGGAAGCGAATCCGGTGAGTAGCCGGGCGGGACGGGGCGGACCCAGTGGGCGGGGTTCAGGGGAGAGGGGCGGGAGGGGGTTCCTGGGAACTGCTCCCCCTCACCCGCTTCGGGCTGGGTGCTGAGTTCCGGGACCCCGAAGACCCTGGCCCTTGGGGCTTCTATAGTTTCTGGCTTTTGAGCGGTGGAGATAGCTCCGTGGGTTTTCCAACGCATTATTACTTTCTGTTACAGTTATTTATTTGACTTGCTGTGGTTTCTCCGCCTCCCCCTCCCCCCACCGTCTTTTTAAACTTTGTGTTTTGCTTCCTAATCGGAGTTCCGGGGCTTTGGACCTGTTCCTCTGCCTTTGCCTCGGGTGTACCTGCCAGTCCCATCCATCTAAAGCGAGGGGATTCGACCCCCGTGTCTAGAAAGGGCCTAAGAGGAACCATCAGTGCTCCTTTTTCCCTTCTTGGTGGGCAGTCATTTCAAACTTGGGGGGACCGAGTGTATGTTCTAAGCGTCTAGATGGTGAAGTTCTTAGATTTTTTTTTTTTTCCAGTGGACAGAACTGATGACCTGGAACTTTTCAACTGCAAGTCTTGTCTCCCTCCTTCTTGTCTGACTCCGGTGTTTGCATTCTGTCTGCGTGTATTTTGGTCTGCTTTGCTTTTATACATTTCTTTAATGTGCAGCTCTCAAAGAGTGGAATCCGTTTGCCCAGAGTATTCCATTCATCTCTTGTTAGAGTTGAAATCGCCTAGTAACATGGCAAATGTACACCTTAGGAGTTGACTCAGGAAATGGCAGAATCCCGTTTCAGCAAATTGTTGGACTGAATGAAATTACCGCGTGTGCCGAGATAACTGCCCAAATTTACTTACAACCCCGCTTTCATACTTGCAATACTCTTTTGCTGTAATCAACACTTTTTTTTTTTTCCATTTCTGGAATATATTTCTAGATGAGTTGGAGTGTTTATCAGTTAATTCTGTTATGTTTTTAAGTTTTTATCCAGTAGAAACTAGTCTGTTGGTCTGCATTTGTTGGTTGCACATTGTGGTTGCATCCCAGTCCTTCATGTTACTGGTCGTCATCTAAGATCTTTTTTTTGGGGGGGGGGGGGTCATACATATAACCCTGCAATATCAGCCCACATCACAGGAAAGTAATTGCTGGGATTTGATTTTAGCAAAAATAATTTAGAATTATGAGAATGTGCTCTCTGCGTTTGTATTCAGTTTCACGATCTGTCATCAACAGTTTTCATTTTCTGCCATTATACATATATGTGTGTATGTGTATGTGTGCATCTGGCGTCTGTGTCTTCAGTTTTTATTAGCAGTCCTTTTCGTCTTGGTTTCTCCATAACAAACTTTTTAGTCATCTAGGTATGTCTTGCTCGAAGTCACATGTTTCAAATTCTTCATTATATTGTAAGCTCCCTGTGGGCAGGGATTTTTGTCTGTTTTGTTTATTTCGGTATCTTCAGGGCAGAGAACAGAGCCTGGCACTTAGTAGGCACTCAGTAAATATCTGTTGAATTAGCAAAGGTGACTGGATTTAGTACTAGAGGGAGTCCTTTGCTCCTACTGTTCATTCTCCCTCCTCCATCACATATACATTAGCAATTGCTATTGGATCATTTGTATGTTTGTAAGGATTATAAAGACATTAGTGAATGTCTTATAAATTTGTTTTGTTATATAGCATTATCTCATTTCTTTCTCATTATACATTTCTTTGTATGCTGTTTCTTCTGACATCACCCTAACGATTTTGCATGATTTCACCAGAGCAGACTGACCTTTGTTAATAGTGGCGAACCTTCCACATATAATCCCACGTTCTTCTTTCAGCCCCTATTGTGCTACCCTAGTATGTCTTAATGCTACTCTGTTTTCTTACTGATACTGGTTTCCTTCCTATGAACATATGAATTCTGTCAATAAGGACAGTTTAGTTTTTAAAAATACAGTCAACATTCTGTATGTGTGTTTCTCTAGTAATTTGTTAGTTTATAGTAATAGAAGCAGCATCTGGACAGTTTGTCCAGCTGTACTCATGGGATGAAAATTAATTTTAATGTTACCCTAAGCCAAACACATTGGAAATTTAAAAAAACAACAAAAAACTACAATGTATCCTAAAGATAAATGCAGATGACTTTTGCATTACCCATCAATTGAAATTACTATTTGCCATTTCTTACCATTGAATGAGATCATAAATTCTACTTTGTGAAGCAAGGCCACTGTGAACTGCTCTAATTGAGGTCTTCTGCCTAGTTTCTCCCTGTATATTTTTGATAGCATCTATGGCCTTAATGTACCACCTATGAGCCGCGGACATACCTCCTATTGCAAATATACCTTCTGTATGATACTGTATTCTACTCACAAGTGGCTTTGAGAAAATGTTACACTGATGGCCATGGTAATACTCAGAAGCAGCTGCCCCTTCCAAGTGAAAAGTCCCCATGACATGGTTTGAGTGTGGAAAATCAGCACTGAGCTTGCAACATTTCCTTGGGGGAGAAACCTAAAACAGAATAACCAAGGAGTTATAGGCTTTGTCTCAGTACAAAATTTTATTTTATCTTTCAAGACAGTCATGAGGTCAGTGATATCTACTCAAGCCTTTCACTGACTAGGCACCTTGAGGTAAGCATAATGTCCCTGCCAAGGCAGATCTGATTGACAGAAGGAGCAGGCTCACTCAGTTCTGGTATGAGCTTTTGGCAGTTCGCCATCCACCTGGGGGAGGTAGCCCTTGACTAATTTCCCCCAGTTTAGAAAAATGGCAAAGTCTGTAGAAAGGAATTGAAGGGGTTGCCATCACTGCTTTGACTCTCCATACCGTGACTTTATCCTGCCTTTCTCTGTCCTCTGTGTCATCGTCTTATTCCTCTTTGCTGCGAGTAAGTAATCACTGTTACATATGAGGGAGTTTCAGTTTCCTTTTCTCGCACTGATGAAGGAAACTGAAAAATGACAAACATCTGTAAGATTACAAACCCATGTGTTACAGTATTAAGACCTTGCTTTCAGTGATAAAGTCTCCCATAATTCCTTCCCACATATGAATTCATATTATTCAAAGAATCTGATGAGTTAGCTAAGGGAGGGGAAAAATGATTTTCTCAGGACCACGCAGGTGAGTATGCAGCAGAATTATATGAGTACCCGTGTCCTGTTGCTGGGCGACAGCAGTGATAACGTTGTGTATTGGTGCAGTGCTTTACCTGCTGAGCCATCTTTTTCTCTGTTATTTTACATTCACAGCTGCTTCCAGACTCACTTGGCACTATGATTCTTCTCTCTCCTTTTTCTGTCACGCTTCTTGAAAGAATAGTCTTATACTTTTTGTCATTCTTATTCATACCTCTACTCCTCCAGCCTCACCTCTGCCCCTAACACCTCACTTGCTAGGAGGTCACCAAGGACTTTTGAATCAACACATCAGTAGTGACTTTTATGCCTCCAACCTCTTCTGTCTTTCTGCAACATTAATGCACTAGAGGTGTTTTTTAGGACTCTTTTTTTATTTTCCTGGGTCTCTACTGCTTTGGATTTCTTCTTTTTATGATTTGTCTTTGAATCATAATTTTAACTGCACTTCCTTCTATCCCTGAAATGTTCTACTGTTAACCTTTGTTTTTTCTCAACACATCCTTTTTTTGGTGAGCTCCAAGGCTTCAGATACTACTGTAGTGAATATGCCTGCCAAATGTACCTTTTCAGTCCTGACCCTATTCCTGAGCCAGGTGATGGACACCTCTACTGGTTGTCTCTCTGACAGTTCCAAGTTGGTATGTCAAAACTGGACTGCCAGAGAACCCAATCATTGATTATTTCACCCACTCAACAAATAGTTACTAAGTATCTACCACATATAAAACATTCTAGGCACTAGGGAGGGGCATTACAAATACGGATCAAGTCAGAGTCTGCCCCTCAGGGGTCTGGCAACATAGTTTGGGGAGTGGAAGTGATACCAGAGGATATTGGGGGACTAGGTTCACTAACATAAGTTACATTTGAGCTAGGTGTTGAAGTTATAGAGGTGGTTCTTTGGGAAGGGCAAAGGAGCAAAATGACCACAGACCCCAAAGGTGAAAGAGATTGGCAAGTACAGTTTGGATAAAGGAGTGAAATGGAAAAAGTGCATATCTGATGAGTCAAGTCTCAGGATGGGCATTTTCAGAGAATGAGGATGGAGGGGTTGTGCGTGGTGGTATCTAACATGAGTGTAATATCTCTTCTGAGTCAGGCAGCGTCCCTCAGGCTTGGGGGAGGATGGAGATAGGATTCATTTCTGGAAATGAAAATTCTACAGCGAACGTAGTGTCTATGAAGAGGTGTTCCTAGATCCACATACAGTCATGGGTTCATATACTGATACCTGTGTCTTGGCATTCTTTCTAATTGTGCCAGTAGTAGATTGAGTTAAGCTTGTGAGTAGTGTGATGTGCCAGGGTTTGGTGGCTGAGGCGGCACTCAACAAAGCGTGCCCACACTGAGGTTATCTGATACCTGTGGGAGGTAGGAATTAATAAATGATTAGTCTCCCTTTTTCAAGGATGATACTAGGTCTCAAAGTTTGGTGACCTTTCAGAATAAGGACAGAGCCGGGTTTTAAATCTAGGACTTTCTGGCTCCAGAACACATACTCTTTCCAGTCTGCCTTAACATACAAGACTTAAAAGTGGGTAGAGAAGGACCTGTGAGGAAAGATACAGGGAGTCAGAGAAAAAGAAGAATTCTTGAGCTGCAGAAAATCACACCCTTTGTGCGACACCCAACTCCCATGATTTTAGAACTTTTTTCTAGTGGTGCAGCACATGAACAGCAGTAGGGAAATGCTGTGGCCTCCCCAGGATGGGTACAGCAGATGCAGCACAGGGCCGAGGGAGTGAGTCTAATGGTTTCTGGAGTATCGGAGTTTGTGATACAGGCCGGAGGCAGACTTTTGTAACAGGTTTGAAGGATGGAGTGAGGTGAAATGCTAAGTATGACCCACCTGGTCTGAA